GCTGGTTCGATATAGCAAAAAACGGGGTTTTTGTCTGTTAACTAAGAAACGGACACAGAGTCCGTCAGAATTACGACAAAAGTGTTTGTAAAATTACGGACATTTTTACAGTGCAGGCATAAGCTTCCCGCTGAGCCTCCTCCCTAGCCCCTTTCAACTAAAGTTCCGAAAAAAGTATTAATTGATCTTGAATTAGTCATTTGCTCGCCAGATAAAATAGTGCATAGACAAAGCATAGGAGGGCCTTACCATTTGTGCCCAGAATGCTTTCTTACGGTGGGCTACAAAGACAGAACAGGCCAGGGGTTTTTAAAACCCAATGTTGGAATAACCAGGATTTAAACGCATTGCCATCATTACATAGCCAGCATTAAAGGTGTGGCGTTAAGGTTGGGACATGCTAATGAATTGGCTTGATTGCCAATAACGGCCTATTCAATTAATCAACTTGTATGCCAATGGTAGCACAGCCATTAAATTAGTGTGAAAGCCAAAATTGGCATAGCCAATGACATAGTGTGGATGCCAATGATGGCTGAAATATTGGCTTAAGGATGGCCCAACAATGGTGCCAATGATGGCTGGAAAGTTGGTTATAGGATGGCCTTACATTGGTGCCATTGATGGCTGGAACATTGGTTGAACGATGGCCCAATGTTGGTGCCATTAATGGCTGGAACATTCGCTGAACTATGGCCCAACGTCGGTGCCAATGATGGCTGGAACATTGGTTGAACGATGGCCCAACGTTGTTGCCAATGGCTGGGCCAATATTGGAAGAAGTTGACATAGCCAGAATGCCAATGTTGGACCATCTTCTGGAGCCAGTGTTTGCCATTGATGGCCCAATGTAGGTCCAACATTGGTATGCTGCCTGGGCACATGCTCAGCAACACAGAGCGTTAACAAGATAGAATGCGCTCGCCCGTCCGATATTCGCTCCTTCTTAAGAGCCTACACGTCTGCTCAATTCGTATGAAAGCATTGTACGGTCAGTTTCATATTTAATATTTTGCTACGTGTTCGGGACGTATTTATAATATTGCGGCAATGTTTACATGCTCAATGATTTACCTATACTGTGTCTCCAATTAGTTTTATAATGAGGTCTGCTGATCGGTTTTATTGCAAGTGTGTGAAGATAAAGGAACATAGCTTCCGTAAAGTCGGTAGACATCCATAATAGCCAACGGATGCAACCCAACCGAATCCACAGCCTATGTCTGGCACGTTTTGTGCAGTGCTGCCGGATTGGACTATATATAGCCAAATTGGGTTACATCTTGTTCTAGTTGGCGTCAAATTATGTGGCTATTTTGGGCTATCTCTAAGGATGTGGAGAACTTTTGTCGAACCTGAGGTTCGACGTCAAGCCTCTAGGTTCGTCTAGTTAATTTTTGAACTTCCAATCAGTTTAAAAAAATGTTTACTTTTGGGCTTGTCGAGAGGAGAGAGAGGAAGGAGAAAGGCTTAAACCTCGTGGTTTTCACAATGCGCAGAGAAGCAGCGCTTGCAGACTTCAAGCGGTCTCCCCACCGCGCAGTCAAACCAATCAGACGAACATATTGCACTATAACCACTGGCCAGATAGCGCGTCTTCTACCCGGACGTAAACAGAGCTCTGCAAACGCTGCTCTGGTGCCCATCATAAAAATCCTTAGACGCTGAAGTTCGTAAAAATGAGAAGTCCGCAGATTCACCGCTAAACAATTGACTACCTTTCAGTCGTCGCCGACCTCAAGAAAAGACAGCGCAATAAAAAATAGCGTGAACCGGAACGGGGGACACTCATATTCTTCGGACAGAAAAAAATACCGGAGGGATATTGGTAATAATAAACATAGCCATTAGGGTTTCTTGTTTGAAACTCCCAGTGTTCTGACTGTTCTGCTGCTGTATTTTCTTCTTATACTGTATGATAATATCACCCAGACTTCACAATAAAGCTGTCCTTTTGTGTTTTGTACTTAATCCTAGAAACCTAGAAGGAAGGGTCAATGTTGTACGGATTTTCATCCTTCCCAAGCTTTTTTATTAAAATTCACAAGTGACATAAGCCAGGCGAAACATTCAAACTGGGACGAGTTGGCATCTCAACTGGTTTCAATGGGACTACCTGGTACCAACTGGGAATCAGCTGGGACCAACTGACGGGTCAACTGGCTTGAACCATTCCCGATTGGGAGTCAACTGGTTTCACAACCAGTTGGGAAAGAAGTAAACTGAGACCACTTAACGAAGTAGCTGGTTGGAGTGGTTCCCAGTCGGACTTCAAATGTTTTTTTCCATTCCCAGTTTACCTGGGGCGAAACTTTTCAGAAAGAGGGTGTATTTATATTTACTAATAAAGAAAGCTACAAAAAAGACTTACGTTTATAGATTTATACTTATAGGGAATTTTAGTTACTAGGTACATTTAGGTATTCATAAAAAATAATAAAAATTTAATTAACAGCATACTATTTTAATTGGAAATCCTAATTAATGGCATAAAACGTGTTTTCCTAAGTGAGCCTTTATGTGCATATATAAACATGCATTAAACAATTAATTTAAATACCCACACTATTCTTTTTTTTAAATAAAGTTATGTTTTGGGCAATCACAACTAGCCGGAAGCCGTGCCCCGCGGGTGCAGATTAGTGTTATGGGCTGTCGACAAATTAATGTTACGCGCTACCATGTCGACAGCGCGTCACATTAGTGTTACGCGCTGTCGAAAGTGTCTCCAAAGAGTCAGAGGATGATGTTACCAGGGTCATGCGTACCTGCTCGAGAACCTCTAAAAGAAGAGCTCCCGCAGGATCGATCTATCTAGTGCCTCGACGCGGTCTCCGAGTACCTGTTGCATGCGACGCAAGAGCTCTGACGGCTCCCTGTCCTCTAACTCCTCAGTGGTAAGGAGTTGCTGAAGGAGACGCTGTTCTGAAGCCGTTGTTCTGTGGATCAGTTCTCGCTTGGGGATGTTGTAAGGCTCATCCTCGGGTGGCGCTCGCACAATAGCTCGAATTATCGCACCTGCCTGTTGCGATAATGCGGCAACGACGTGGTCAAATTTCCAGAGTTGTGACATAATGCGGTTCTTGCGGAACAGAGAGTTGATGGTAAGGAACTATAGTTCCCCGTCCGATGTCCAAAAATCTGGCAGCTTGAACGTCAGAGCTTCAGCTACATCTGAAAATGCAGGGGAAGCGCTGGTGGAGGTTGGAATGTTACCGGAGAAACGTTCCAACCCGATGTTAAAATCTAGGCCAAGGGTGGCCAAGGTGGAAGTCGGTTGCCGAATGTCCTGGTCCGCGGCACCACTTGAAGGGGTTTAGACTTCTTTATTTATTTACATATTTGAAAATGCTCTATAGTTTTCTTGCCATCTGTGGGTGTTCTCGTAACCGTGATGGTGTCGGCTTCAGAAGGTGCGTGCCGGTTTATCATAATATTTATCACAATGGACTACCATGTTCTCCGAAGACATCCGCTTTTACAAAAATTTGATGCCCAATGTACGATCGGATGGTGCACGAAAGTGCCTGATTTTAAAACCCTGTATCAAACGTCCCACGGCTGACACCACGCCCTTTCGCACCGGCTTCAAAAGGCCATTTTCATCAGACACTCATGACGTGAATCCATAGATCAGGTGGACAGGTCCTCACCGTGACGGCAGAGCATTCTGCTTTTGATAAAAATACATTAAGTGTGCACGCGAGAGTGTGTAACGTAATCATGCCGTCATTTGTAGACCCTAAACATATTAGGTTAAGACATGAAACAATTCTGGCTTATGCGCGCAAAGGGATTCTGCACCTGGGACTATCATGTTATGTCCATGCGATCGCGCAAATGCCGTCTGCATTTTAGACTACCGATGCGGCGCATTCCACATGTTTGTGTGCATGTTGTTCTTTTTTTTGTATGCGCAAGTTCTTCTGTTTTTTTGTTTGTTTGTTTTTTTTTGCTTTTTTTTAAGCATAAGCGAGGTAGCTTTAAGGTGCTCTGAGGGAACGAAAATGTGGCCTACAATTTTCATAGACTTTATATCGACACCTTTTTCCGTTGGGAAACATTTGATTCGTTATAGTCTCTTTTTTAATTTTTGACATTAGGCTTCAAGCTGAGTTTCGAGCTTCGTGTCTGCCAGTCCCTTTTTGCCTCTTGCTATAGAGCACTTAGCATACAGCGATTCAATAAATGCGATAGCATTGTTATTCTTAAGTGCATTTTACATGCCCAAAATAAAAGTTTGCAAGTTCTATCAAAGAATAATAATTAATGAAATGTTATCCCTGGTAAATGCCATTCTTATGTATATAATTCCATGGCTTTTTTATAGGTTGAGACTTCACAGGGAGCTTTTTTACTCGAGTTTGATCAAACTGGCCGTGTAGCACAACTCTAGTTTAGTTGAGTCTATCTTCAGTTAGCGGTCGTAAATGCCGTTAACCTGGTGAAATTAAGCTTAAATTACGGCGTATAAGTCTACCTCGGTGAAATCGAAAATATTTGGACGGCCAAGGCACCACTAGAAGCCCAGGAGAGTACTATAGCTTAGATTCTGAAGCGCGATTCGGCAATTTGATTACGTGTTCTCTTTCAAAGTTGATTGACCTCATTTCTGTCGCTCACATATTACTACGTACACCTCGCCTCGATTTACACTCTTAACATTCTTTCGTACCTCACCAATCCTCTGAGTGTCAAATCAGGATTCAAAATGGGTTTTCTTTCGTAACAATAGTGCGCGTACCTGCCTTTTATTTTGATTAATTTGTGCAAATAAGGAGCGAAGTGCTCAGAAGCACGCCTGATTGCGAATGCCAAGGCTGTTCAAGGCAAACCTGGATTCTCATTGACCCTCCACACGCATAGCTTCGATACTTCCTCTATTCATTTAAGGACTCTCATTGGACAAAAGGATGTCTCTGTTTGAAGCAAGTTTTGTATAAAAAGGAGCAAAATCTAGTTCGATTCAGCAGTCTCTATTTCAGATTTCTACCTGCACCATGGCTGGAGTAAGTGTCTTTATGTAACAAATCGCCCTGGACTTTAACATAATTTCGCATATTAGGGGAGAATAGTTGGTGATTTATTATCAGCTTTAAATTTGTGTCGCTCTTGCTGCCTCTCATTTTGCTACCTGATGTAATCTTCACGATATTAATATCACATAATTTGTAACTAGTTAGCCTACCGAAAAGGTAAGACATTCTGGACGGGTTTCAAGGCAGGTATACAATGCGATGGCTGAATATATTTATTATTTGAAATTCATTCCCAGGTATTTTTTAATTGTTTAAGCTAAATAAAAGGTCGAAAACACCAACGAATGCCAGACGCGTTATAGAGTAAACTTGCTTGCATAACTTGTCACAGATCTCTCTAAACAAGCTGTGTTTGTAGATTTGTGTTTTTCCTTATTCCCTTTGTTCCCCTCCTCCAGGGATTAATATGGTCATACTAGTCCAGTTGCTTGCACCTTTGTATTAATTGCACTGTCATTATAACCTTACGATGTAGGCCGTTCTCTTTTGTAGGTGTTAGGCTGGTGGCAGCTTATAAAACCCGTTTTCCCAACTGACGTCGAACTCCGCGTTAGCTCAGTTGGCTCAGTTGGTATTCTCAGTTAGCTCAGATGGCATTTCAGCTCCACCAGAAAAATTAGATGTCCCTGGTTGAATACCAGGCTCAGGCGGATTTTTTCGTTCGCGCACCATTCATCTGGCTGTATTTGAAGATTTGTGTTTGTCCTTTATTTCATTTGTTCCCCTTTTACAGGGATCACTTTCGTCATTCTTGTCCAGCTCGATTGCACCTTTGCAATACTTGAGTTATCATTATAACCTTAAAGAGCAAGCTGTTCACTTCTGTCAGTGTTATACAGGTGGCAATATCTGTTTGCTCTACTTACGCCTAACTACTGGTTAGCTCAGTTGGTAGAGCGCTCTTCTAGAAATGAAGAGGTCTCTGTTTCGATACCAGAACCAGGCGGCTTTTTCGGTTATGCACCAGTCGCCTAGCTGTATTTGCAGATTTGTGTTTGTTCTCTGTCCCACTTGTTCCCCTTCTCCAAGGATTATTATCGTCATTCTTGTTCATCTCGAGCGCACCTTTGCATTAATTACTTCTCTCTCACACAGTTCCGAGCTTGCCTTCTCCTGGCCCTGGCCACCAGCGCCTTCGCTGGCTACACCCACGGAGGCTACGGCTATGGTCTTGGCTACGGCGGTCTGGGTTACGCCGGCCTCGGCTACGGCGGCCTCGGCTACTCCGGCCTTGGCTATGGCGGCTTCGGCTACTCCGGCCTTGGCTACGGCCTCGGCTATGGACATGGTCTCGGTTACGGTCACGCTGTCGGTCTCGGCCACGGCATCGGCTACTCCGTCGCTGCCCCAGTCGCTAGCTACGCTGTTGCTGCTCCAGCCGTGAGCCGCACCGTGTCCACTTCCTACCACGCTGCCCCAGCAGTCGCCTCCTACGCCGTGGCTCCAGCTGTGGCCAAGGTTGCCACCACCTACGCCGCCCCCGCTGTGGCCAAGGTCGCTACCACTTACGCCGCCCCAGCTGTTGCCTCCTACGCTGTTGCACCAATCGCAACCTACGCTGCTGCCCCGGCCGTTGCCAAGGTTGCCACCACCTACCAAGCTGCTCCAGCTGTTGCCTCCTACGCAGTTGCCCCAGCCGTGACCAGGGTTGCCACCGCCTACCACGCTGCTCCAGCTATCGCCACCTACGCTGCTCCAGCTGTCGCCTCCTACGCTGTTGCCCCAGCTGTTTCCAAGGTTGCCACCACCTACCACGCTGCCCCAGCCGTCGCCAGCTACCAGACCTACCACGCTGCCCCAGCAGTCGCCACCGTCGCCCACGCTCCAGCTTACGGTTATGGAGTCAGCAGCCTCGGGTACGGCGTCGGTCACTACGGCTTCGGTCACGGTCTTGGCAGCTACGGCCTGAACTACGGTTACGGCCTTGGTGGCTTCAACGACTACACCGCTCTCCTCCGCAGGAAGAAGTGTAAGTAGGGTTTTATTTTTTTATTATTTAGGGCTTTTTATCCATTGGTTTTCATTTATTTGTCAGTGACACAATCAAAACTTCATAGACGCTGGATTTGATAATTTGATAGTTCCATTCTACTTTTTCTTACAGAAACTGCCACGAACCTTCTGGATATATCCTGCAAGCTTCAGAGAGTCTTTTCTGGCCCTTTTTTTCCTGTCACCGGAAAATGTGGCCTATGTGCTCTCAATAAATTATTTTGAATGCTGTATACATGAGTACATGAGTACATGTTTCTCGTTCCCGCTGGGGCCCATTCTGTCTTGAGGTATATTAATTGCTTGCTCATTTGCTCCAATCTCCACGTTCACCGCTAATTGCGATATATGGCATATATGGACGACACGTAAAAAAAAAAAAAAGACGATCAACCTTGAATTAATTTTACAGCGATCTGACATTTTACACTGTAATGTGCGACTGATAAAATGTAATTTTGGCTTTATACAAATCGCCCGCAGCATTGTCAACACAGAGAAGGCGCGACGATTAGAGCTGTATGTAGAGGTAAACTAAATCAAATTGGCGCGTATTTTCTTCATTGAAAGGGCCGTCCACTATACTTCGTTTCACCTTAAAGTTTGACGTACAACCTCGGGTGTTTTTCTAGTGAGATCATGCGCTTAGCGCTCCAACTCTCCTAAGCTGCAAGGGAAGTCAAGTTTTGGGTAAGGATGTTGGAGAGGAATGGAGAGAATAGAGGAAAGAAAGAAGCGCGCAAAAGTGGAAAGCTGCGGGGGACCAATCAGAGAGCTTCAAAGCGCGCCGTAATGGTGTTCTTCGTGTTTCTGCGAGGTATGTTCTAGAGGTGTCACGACTAGTCGTTGTGCTGAAATAAATTTTATATACGAGGGGTTAACATGGCGTGTCAATGAAAAAGAAAAATCCTTGCGTTTTGAAAACTTGTTTTTTTTTGTTTTTTTTTAACGAAAATGTGGGTGAGAGGACGTGTAACTACGATTTTCCCAATTCTCTGTAAAGGCAAGTTTGAAGGCAAAAATAAAAAAAAAAAAAATGAAAAAATGCCTTACAGCGTAAATATATTGTTGCACAAAACACGGTAACTGAACTACCCGAAGCAGTTAGATGTATTTTATGGAAGCTTGTATTTGTAGCGGATACAATATGCAAACTTGACCTGTTGGGGAACCCTTCCATATGTAGTCAGTAATTGGCGATTTCTTAACTCATCATAGAATTATTTCTAGCGTGAAACATTTTGTGCAGAGTCATTAATACTCTCTTTACTTCTAACAAAAACATTAGCACTCAACGACTGTTAATGTTTCTTGCATAGCGCCCGGAATTTTTAAAATATCGACAAAAACAAAATTGCGCAATTTTGGCCGACCAAAAAAATGTCATCATCAATCATTTTTATTTAGTCTTCTTCGAAAAACTTCGTTAAACGTGTAATTTATAATCCACAATAGCATGTTCTATTATATTGTTCTAAGTTAGAAAAAAAAGTCGTTTTTCCAGGTCTCCGTCGACAACATTTACTGTTGGTGGCTTTCTGTCTAAACTTGTGGTACTCGAGCACGCCACTCACAGTGGCCGTGGTGTGTCGCATTGTCTCACAGACACCATGGAGCATATTATACAAAAAAAATAATTGATATTTGTTTTTTATTAGTGATGTGGCTGATATTGCCAATGAAATCTAAACTTGACGACGCATATAATTCTGATAGGTTGTTGTGCTTGGTTGATTGCGCTGCACTGCGCTACTTTCCCAGGGTAGTATTTTAATGCGGGTTGCCGGTCGACAAATTGATTCTATTCATTAATCTTGATACCAATATACTTCGTTTCTAAGTGCGATGAATTGTAGCAGACTTTAAGGGATATATCAGCCAATGTGGCATATCGAGTGACAACGCGTCGTAGCGCCCCTCATCAAGGTCACGTGACACTGACACGGCACTGAACTGACTTTTATGACTCGTACCGTCGTCTGTGGTCCATCGGAAAGTAAACCGGTGCACATGAGCCGGAGATGTTAGGAACATACGTCCCAGCCGATGGCGGGCGTGCCGAGGATGAAACTGTAGCAGGTTCATACCATGCTTCCAAAAAGTGATGTAGCACATCTGACCCGCTATGCCACGCGAAAAAAAAAAAAAGAGCGGAAGCTTTGTCCTGTTAAAAACATGAAGTACGCAGCTGCTGGACGAAAACTCTAAATAGGGAAGGTCCCTTTATTTTATGGTAAAACGACTTGCTAAGCATGAAATGCGAACCTTTCTCCTATATTAAAGTCGGTCCGTGGTCACAATAGACGTTATTGTGAACTTAGGTTATTCGACATTTTATGTAGTTGGATATACAGGGTTAACACTCTTCGAACTTAACACTGCCACTCGGTTGGGCAAATATTGATCTATTGCAGGCTGCTCAAAGTTAAATCGATCGCTGCAGCAGCTGGAATTTCTTGACCATGCTAGGTTTCGATGAGAGAACAAAACGACACCACGTAGTTGCACCGGTAGGCCCCGGAATAGCATATAAACTGAACAAAACGGATCATCTCATAATGGCATCAGTTTTGGGGGACACTGTTCTTTACGAATGTCTATGCGACGGTTTCCTTTTTTTTTTTTCATGGAGAAACGAATATATTAAAGAATTATACAAATGCGTGTCGAGGCGGCAGTTGGGAAGGGGGAAGACCGGTGGCTTCGCTGCTACTGTCGGCGGAGCATTATTATTATTTGTTTTATCCCTTGCTCCACACTATCCCGTATAAGCCTTTCAGAGAGTAATATTTATGCACTGGTGATTTTTCTTGCCTAATTTACTCAATTTAGTTTTCGGGAGATTTCTTCGATTTTTAAGGAATACAAGCTGGACGTGTGTTTGAAAACTTTCATATGTTATACAAAACATGCCTAATTACTGGGTGACCCAAGGAGTGGCGAGGCTCTGTAAATCAACCGCAAAATTCGGTTTCTCAACCTATCGCGCTACGATTTTGTGCAGCGTTGCCTAGAGATGGTGCATTTCGTTTTTCAAAATTTGCAAAGAGCAAACTTACCTGAGGAAAAAAGAAAAAAAAAAGAAAAAGGCTTAGCTCCTATGGAAACGCAACGAAGCCACCGGTCTTCAAACAATACGGAGCCGCTTCGCACGGGAGACAAGAGATGGCACAAGCGGACAAAATGTGAACTGCCACCAAGGAACGATCATACGGCGCCGAGAGCTGGCGTCTTTAGCAGACGATCTTTTCGACTCAAATGTGGCGCGAGCTTTTCTAATATCAGTTGCCAATTGACTCCGTAAGTGTGACGTCATGGGTCCAAACAAACTGTTGCTACGGTCATTATGTACAAATACATGTGGCTAGGTTTCGCTACGAAAACCCGACCGTTAAATAATCAGCAGTGTTATTCAAACTTCCAAAAAAAAAAACGATATGGAAAGCTTGAATGTCATATATGTTTCGACAAAAGTGTCCCGGTAATCGCTTGTTTCTGAAATATTTACGACTGTAACTTCCGGTCCTCAAGATGCCCGCAGCAGACGACGAATGCAAGTAGTATGCCGTGTGCCACACGCCGGCCGGCCAAGCCGGCGCAGTAATTTGAATCGTGTGAATAAAGGCGATATTATGAAATTGCATTTGGTTGAGATATAATGAGTTTCAGCCATTTATAAGTATTCATAGTGGAATGCGATGCGACGCGATGCGATGCGATGGTACGATGCGAGATGATCATCTGCTTAAAGATCGCATTGTACCCTTGAGAAAACCACTTCAGGCGATCGGTTGGGATCACAAATTTTGTTTGCGGACTCGCGCTATGGTGGGGTGTTTCGAACCTGGCTGTAACCATCGCGTAGAAAAGAATTTTTGCAGTTTCTTTAGATTTCCGCAAGACCCCAACGCGCGAAAGAACTGGATAAAAAACATAAGGTGAGTACATGGAGCACTGGCGGGCAGTTACGATGCATTTTACAGATTGTACTCGCATCGCGGGTTCCATGGAGATTTTAACCAAAATAGCACATCCACAGAATTCGATGTATACTAAGAAAAAAAAATACTTATACCGCGAAATCGCGATAGACAAGCAATTTTTTAATAACCTCACAACCTCAATAACAATAATAATCATAATAATAAACGACTTACCTCGACGGCGTACGATTTGTTTCTCATGCTGACCTGCACTTCGCCGGTAATGCAATTCAGGTCCTCGTCGTAACTGATCTGCATGACGTGGTTTAATTTTACGCCATCTTCACCCCTCTGAACTAAGCCTGGCTCTTCACAAAATAAATAAAACGCACATTGCGGAGGCCTCCACGGCCATGGCGATGCACTTGTATTTGTCGCTCGTTTACCGACGCAATTCAGTGAAGACGCCCGCTACAATGGAGGCCAGCAAATCTATCGTGTCGTCTACTACCAAAGCAAAGCGGAGTTCAATACTTCAGAAATGGCTTTCATCGTTGCAATATGACGCTGAGACGAACAGAACATCTTCATAAATAGATATGAAGAGGTTAGGTGGCTTACAAAAAATTATTTACTTACTCGTAAGCAAAAATCTCGAGTCATGTGGAGTCTCCGTGCATTAGTTTATAGCAACGTCCACAGCAACGGTTTGTTTGGACCCAGACGCCATGTTGTGACGTAGTCGCTTACGGGGTCAATGCATTATTTTATCATCCTTACTAATAAAACATATTGAATGCACCGGTACTCGATTAAAAAATGGTTTGTTGGGATATTTTGACTGTTTTTTTTTTTCGGGGTACTGATGTCGTCTGCTTTGGAGTTCCTTGTTGTTACCGCGCCTATTTTTGCTTCTGCGACTGTCACCGCCTGCGGAACGCGCGCCGCTTTTGAGTCGAAACGATCGTTTGTTAAAGACGCCGGCTTTTAGCGCCGTATGCTCGTTCGTTGGCGGCGGTTGGCATCGCGACCGCTCGCGCCATCTCTTGTCTCCTGTGCCTCGCACAGGAGACAAGAGACCGGTGGCTTCGCTGCGTTTCCATAGGTGCTAGGCGTTTTTCTTTCTTTACTTTTTCCTCAGGTGAGTTTGCTCTTTACAAATTTTACAAAAAAAAAATACCATCTGTGGGCAAGGTTGCACAAATTCGTAGCGCAATAGGTTAAAAAACCCAATTTGGCGGTCGATTTAAAGAGCCTGGCCGCTCCTTGGTTGACCCAGTAGTTATTCCTTTGAAGCTAACCAACGCTAG